ATGAGGTGCGCCCGCAGGGATTCCCGCCCAGGGCTGGTAGCCAGGCAGTCCAGATTTTTCCACCCCACTGACACTCTCTGAAAGAAGTGCTGTTTTATCTGTGTGGTTGGGTCTCTGAGTGCGTTTTGTGTGGGTGTGCATGTGTGTGTGTCCTCTGCAATCTGAAAATTGGTCTTGGGGTCCACAAGCAGCAGCTGCAGCTGCCATAATTAAAATGAAATAACCTGCCTCTTTTTGTCCATAGGGACCAAAGCTTTAAAAAAAATCCATATTGTAAATGAACTCAAGAATGTGGTGAATCTTCTCTCACTGTTTACTTGCAACAAGTTTTATGGCTTCGCGTTTCTCTGGAGTCAGTAAGAGAGGAGCATTAACCTTCACCGAGTGAGCCTTTGTGCTGACCCAAGGCACCGTGCTGGGTCAGCCACACTGCCCAAGAGGGAGTTTCAGTCCAGTTTCCATGCTTCCCATTAGAGCCACTTCGGAACTGCATCAGCCTCAGATCGCTCAACCTGGTCTGATTCTGTTCAGAGAGCTGGGAGGATTGGCGTTATTAAGATGTTACCAACGACGTTGGCATGTATAATTGGCTTGGATTAGAAACCAAAGCTCTTAGCAAAGCAACAAGGTGAAGTATTTTGTGCTAATGATTTCCATGGTAATGAGATGGATTTCAGAGGATTGAATGTGTTCTTGAAGGTGTTGCGAAAGTCACTCCTTGAGCCAGGCTGGGAGGAGAAAACCCCAGAGCTGCAGGTTGTGGTTTGTAGGGATCCCGCGGCAGTCAGTGAGGAACAAGACGAACATGCCCTGGGAATTGGGAGGTGGTGATCACTCTTCCAGGAGCTCCTGGCCTGCTGGAAAGGCCAACATGGGCACATGTCGTGAGCAGACACTGGTCAGAAGGGCAGTTCAAGGGCATAGCAGCTGTCTATGGGCTTAGCCTTCTCTCCTCCCAAAATTCATTTCTTCAGTTGGTAACTTGGTGAGCAGCAGGGCCAGCTCACTGAAAATGAACGTCCAGAGTGTCACACATCAAGCAACAGGAGGAGGCCTCACACTGCCCGCACCATGCATGGGCGTGGGGTCCGGCGCTTACTCTCTCTGCTCCATTATTTTTCTCCCATTTGCTAGTAAGCAGACAGAAGAAGCTGGGTCATTTGTCCCAAGCTGCACAGGCTGAGAGGAGACCAAGGCCTGCTCAGTTTTCTCCTGTCCCACACTGGCTTCCTCTCTGAAAATAGGCACCCTTGATTGCCTGGTATACAGCATGACTGTGTCGTGTTCTGTGTTTAGAATGAGAACATCTGTTTTCTACTCAAGAAAAAAGAAAAAAGGGAATCCCAAGGCTGTAGTGGTCAGCATCTGATGAGCGTACCACCTCCAGCTGCGCACAAAGCCCCCCTCCGGTGCAGGTGCATGGTGAGCGCGGGCCCTCCCTGAGCGTCAAGCTCTGCCTCCGGCCGAAGGGCTATGGTCTGGCGGAGAAGTGTGGGCTTCCTTCCTGGCATCCTGCGTGACCTCGCAGGTTCCTGTGGGACTAAAAGCTGTTCTGGGTGTCCCAGTCCCCTGCTCCTGTCTTAGCCAGGAAGGGAACTGAGACGGTGAGCTCTCCCCAGCAAGGAACATGGTTTCCTGAGCTAGTGTACTGCAAGGAGCTGTGGGCAGCGTTGTTTGGGACCCAGCTGCAGGAGTGCCCTAGCATCTCCGTGAGTGGTCTCTTTGGGAGAAGCCAAGGAAAGCCAACTCTGAGTGCTGACTCCACCCAGGCTCCCCCAAGGGCAGCTCTGGAGCTAAGCGTGTGGCACATGCCCTAAAGCAAGTAGGAGTAGGAGGTGCCCGCACACAGAGGGCAGGTATGACCGGGACAGGCATTGTGTGCGTGGCCACAGCATGATTTAGGATTCACTGAAGAGGAAGAGCGGGGTGGCGACCTTGTTTCCGTTGCTTCCTCGCTGCGGGGTGAAGGGCAAGCAGCTTGGCACTCCCAAAGCTGCCTTTCCTGATCTGCAAGTCTCACAGTGCAATCGGATCAGAACCCTTGCTGGCCCCTTCAGGGCCTGTTGCACCATCTCAGATCCAGAACTTCCTGCTCTGGGGCACCCCTCCCAGTCCCTGCTACTGCCAGCCCTGCCAGTGTGGGCTTTCTTAGCAGGTCTCCAGTTAGGCCGCATCCCTGTTCAGCAGCTCTCAGTGGCTACCTGTTCCTAACCAATGGCCACTGTCCAAGCTGGTGATCTGGACCTGCCTGGTGAAGCTCTCCTCTGATGTCCCCTACTCCCCTGTGTGTGGCCCACATACTGGTGAAGGAGAGCCAACCTGCCCTTTGTCACACCCTCTTCTCCGTGCTCTTGTGCCCTCTCTTGGGCAGTGTCCACACCAAGTGTCACCTGTGGAGCGAAGCCACGCATAACCAACACGTTATGCAGTTAAGTCCCCTTTGGGTTTTCAGCCCAGCATTGTCTCTGTCCACTCTCCTGGACTAGACTCTGTCAGAAATGGCCAACCCTTCTAGTTTGTAGTCACCACACATTGCTTGCTTTGCCAGTTTTCTGAAGAGCGGTTTTGTTGCTGAGTCCCCAGTGTATCCTGCGCCTCACGATCAATATATGAGTGAAAAAGTGAGCGCATGAATGAATGGGTGCTGCATCCCTTCCTCAGTGCCAGGTTCTCATGGGGACCAGCACTGGACATAAATACTGCAAAACTCTGTCAGCAACCCATGTATTTGGGCCCTACTACCAGCTGTCTTAGTGCTTACTGGAGGCACTCTGAAGCAGGAGGAGTGTGGGTGGGAGCTAACATGGAGAGCGTCAGGAGAGGGGTGGAGGCCAAGGGCCAAGACGGAGGGGAGGAGGGTGGAAGCTAAGGTTCTGCAGCTGCTTCCCACAGAGCGGGCTGAGGTATGGGTGACAGGCCCACACAGAAGCCTTCCGTTGGGACGCTGGGGTGTTAAGAGGGATTTCATGACTGGCTGAACCCCCCGAGCATCAAAGGCAAACCAGTGGATCTGAGTGGGACCCCAGCAAGCCGGGGGCAAAGCTGACAGATTAGGTCCTAGTCACAGGGGAGGCGCTGCCCCTTGGTCTGGGCCTACAGCAGAGCAGGATAGTTTCTAGTTCTCCTTCAGTTTTGGGGAATGAACTTCGAGTGAACATGGCATAGTAAGAGAAATTAAAAGTACAGCAGCCATTATTGTTCATTTGAGATGCTATGATAGTAATTATAATCTCAATACATGGTATTTATCTCGAACACAGTACAATTTATAAGGACGTTTCTGGGTTTACTTACAGCCTTTGCTCCAGAGCTGTCCCTGCCCATTGTCTCAATCTGGGATTGAACTCAGGGCTTTGAGCTTGCCAGGCAAGCTCTCATTCTACTGAGCTATCTCCCTGGCACCATCATCTCTTTGCCTCCAAGGGTGTTGGCGAGCCCAAGCCCTGCCTAGAGGGCAGAGGACGGAGGGAGGACACTGGAGGGAATTGCCTGCCTAATAGTCTTTCCCTGTCTCATTGTTTTGATTTTTAAAGCAAATACAAAAATAGAAAACAAACAAACAAACGTTAGAAACAATACAGAATTTCACCAAAGGATAGGATTTCAACCATGGCTGTGGTTGTATTGTGTATAGCTATCTTCTTAGTTGTTAACATTACCAGAGACAAGCCTGTGAGATTGGTCAAAACATAGAAAATTAAAAAGGAGAGAGAAACAAAATTCAAACATTGGTGGCTCCTTTCTGTAGGGCAGCAAAAGTCAGCAGTGCAATGATCCAAGCTATCCTGTGTATATACATATATATTTTTCCCTTTTTTCTTTCCTCCTTTTCATTCCCTATTTAGAATGAGGATTTACAGTAAAGAAACACATGAAATGCATTTGAAGCTAGCAAAATTTCACACCTAGAAAAAAAAATTTTAATGGGAATTACCAGTAATCCCTTACCTGATAGTGACAGTAATCAGACAATAATGGCTTCTTAGCTAAGTGTGTAGGTATATTTGCCAAATGCATACTCAGGGAGCTTCTCAGGTAATAAATTAAACACACACACACACAGAACCTCAGATTACTAAAGAATCCTTCCTGCCCACTCCGTAGCTTGTGGTCTATTGTACAAGAGGGCGTACTGCATATCAGTGGGTGTGTGGCACCAGGAAAGTGCGTGGGCTTTGGTCTTTGAGGGCCTGGGCTGCAATCCCAGCTCCTCCTCTTGAAATGAGTGACTGGAGGCACATCACTTAAAACCTTTGTACCTTTCAGAACCCTCCTTTTGAGTGTGAGAGACCCTGCTGCCACATGTATTTGACAAACCATTTCAGTGGAAAGGCATCTCCTTGCCTATTGGTGATATTGCCATGAGTTAGATCCGTAGTTGTAGGGACAGAAAGGACCCAGTATGCTGTGCAGTTCAGTTTTCCTCCTTCAGATGAGGACCTGAGCTCAAGACAGGAAGTGATTTGCCAAAGGCTGCAGTAGGCAGGAGGAACAGGACAGACTCGGCGGTGTGAGGAGGCCTGCCCAGGTGACTGCAGTCCTGTACATCGCAGGGCAGCCTGGCGCCCGTCATGGATCCACACCCAAGAGAGTGAAGTAGCTCTCAGCCCGTGGCCATGCCCCCTCCACCCTCATCACAGCACACAGCCAGCCTCTCCACACAGTGCTCCGTCTCTGCCTTCCCCAACCCATGCTGCATACCTGCTTGCAGGGCTTTGGTCTGCAGCCCCTGCCCTTGAAAGAACATGCAGGCATGCGATGACTGTGAGCCACGAGTTAGTCCCATTGCCCAGGAGATGCGGATGGGAGGAAGGCACCCCTGAGCCCCTGGAGGCTGCAGAGAGTGTTGTGTGGGGCTTTAGGCCCTTATCAGCTTCCCTTCATCACTGTGGGGCAAGAGCAGCTCTGTGCTCCACTGACATTCCTAGAGGGAAGTCTACAGGAAGGTTGGGCAGTCTTACCACCCGGTTCAGGCCAGTCTTTGTTCTCTTCTCCAACAGAAAGGATTCCTCCTTGTCCGCCAGCATCCGATGGCATGGGGACAGGGCTGCAGGGCCCGAGGATGCTGCAGACTCTTCAGATCATGCTGACATGGAGCCAGGTCAGTCCCTCCTCTGCTTGGTTTTCAGTCCTCCGTTGCAAACCTGTCCTGGTGAGAGATGCATCCTAGGATCTGAAAGCATGCGGTGTTTGGTTGGGGGCTTCTGGTGTATGAAGGGGCAGTCGGGCAGGAACAGCAGTGGACTCCTCAGGGCCCAGATGCAGAGGACTGTTGGGGGCAGAGGACACTGAGCTGGCAGCCACTGTAGTAGGAGGGCAGGGTGAGCAGAGGTCCTCTGCCCATCAGGGGAATGCTGACAGTAGTGAAGCAGAACTCAGTCCAGGACTGCAGTGCTGGTCATCAGGGCCACTGTCAGGTCCACAAAATCAGAATGAAGGACCTGGAGCTGGTGCTGAGGAAGCGGCGAGAGAAGTGAGGAGAGGCTTAGGGAGGCATGTGGCCCTGAGGCCAGTGGTTCTCTGGAAGCTTTTCTTCATATTTGTGCAGAACAACAAAAATCACAGCAGTAGGAAATTCCTGGATCATTTTGGGGGCAATGGAACAGTGTTTCAGGCTAGACAGAATGGTTCCCAGAGGCAGTAGTGGGGAGGGTGAGGAAGCACAGGAAGGATGGAGACAGGGCACCCTGAGTTGGAGACCTACTACGCGCTTGCTTGTTCCAAGGCCTCAGAGCAATCTTGTTAGGGAAAGTGTGCGTCTTGTGAGGAGTCACTGTGCTGCAGTAATACATTTACTCGAGAATCACAGTGGCTTCACTCAGCTGGGTGTATTTCCTGTCCGTGCTGTACATGCAACCCGACAGGTGAGGAGCTCCGCTCTGCCTAGGGCCTCAGGGACCAGGCTGTGATATCAACATACCACCTGGAGTTCATGGCCACCCTGTTCTCTGCAGCAGAGGGAGAGATAGCTGGATGTTGTTGGCCATTAAATGCTTCAGTCCAGGTGTCGTACATAGTCCACTGGTCGGAGAGATTCCTGCAGACTTTGTCCTATTTTAGAGTTCTGGGGACTGTGAGAAAGACATGCATATTATTTGATGAGCCCTCCCTGTCTTTGCCAGGGTAGATATTGTCATTTCCATTTTACACTCAGTAACTAAGGTTTGGATACTTTAATGCTCTTGTCCAAGGTCTCACAACTAAAAGCTGCTGAGGCCTGGTTCCTACATCACCTCTTCCTCCATCATTCATCTGTTCACCAAAGGCATAATGAATAGTCACCATAGGCCAGCAAAAAACAATAGCAGAGGTGCCTCTCTGTCTGCCTGAAGAATGTGCCGCTGCTTGCTGCGACAGATGGATGCTCCCCGTGGGGATAGATGGGGCTCTATTCTATGTTGTTCCTCCCTAGATCCTTTAAGACCTTTAGCTTTTCACAGAAAGAGACAGGTAAAACAGTCATGTTTGCTGAGGCACTGGGCCAACGACCCGATTGATAAAATCCACTTAACTCCTGCAGCCCCATGGGGCAGGTATAAGAGAAGAAAGTGGCGTGTGGCTCAGCCAGGTAAGGGAGCGCTGATGATCCCCCTTCACTCCCACTCCACTGAAGCCCAGGAAATGTGGTCTCTTCTTGTCTGGCATGGGCTTTCCCTCCCTGGTTCCCCAGTGTCCTGTGTGTGTGTCACAACTTAGGGACCCAGCCCTCAGATCTACCAGAGGGACCCCTACGAGCCCAGAGAGCAGTTCCATCATCCCCATGCTGCTGCTGCCCAGAGCTGGGCTTGCTAACCTTGTCCATGTCAAGGGAGGAAGGGGAATGTTTTGCACAGCATTAGATAGAAGGAGTCAAGCCTGAAAGGGTGCCGCTGATTCTCAGCCTTAGCAGGAGCAGATTCTTCTTTGAAGAAAATCTGGGGAATGTTGGAAGGACGTGCATGTGTGATGTCTTTGTCTCTCCAGTCTCATCGCCTGCTGTTCTGCCCCTTGTCTTCTGTGCTGCGTTGGTACCCATCCATCTCTTCTCACCCCTCCTCAGCACTACAGCCAGCACCTCAGCCTTGCATTATGGCGGTAGCTCTGCTGCTCCTTCTGCTCCACCATCTAGCAAGGATGCATCTGTGGAAGCATCTCCCAGGTCGTGTTCCCACCTCAGGGCCTCTCACACCTGCAGCACTCACAGGACCCTCCCTCCCATGGCACCCCACGAGCTCTGGCCTCTTTCCTGTTCTGCGAGCCTCCTGCTTCATGGTGCAAAGCATGGACCATTTCCAGTCTTAGGGAAAGACTCTTCCAGCTGAGGAACAGCAGCAAAGAGACTAGAAATCACTGTCCAAGTGCACAGAGCACAGCTGGGCCAAAGGACCAGGGCAGTGGCGGTCAGTGAGGGCCGGGCCTTCCTGCACCCCTGTGAGCGATCGCTGCTCCTTGCCCAGGCCTCCCTGAGACTGCAGTCTGAGGTTTTGTACACAACATTTATCTACATGGTACATTTCTAGGTAGGTTTATCTCTTCCTCACTGCTACCATTGATCATACTCTCCATGAGATCAGGGTCTTACTTTGCACTATTCCGAGCTCCCTCAAGTACTCCGTGAGCACAGGTGGAGTGAGTGAGTGAGTGAACTAATAACTGAATACTGGATCTCAGTGTTATTTTGTCAGTGCTGTGTGCTCTTCCTGGGATATCCCTCAAGTCCTTTTCCCAACTACATCCTTTTCCTGCCTGGGAGGCAGAAGGCACTGCGGTGCCTTAAATGCAGGCATTATCATCTCATCTGGGGCAGGAACAGTGCTTCCTCTTTGAGCCTCCCTCTCCCACAGCACAGTGAGGACCCAGGTGTGCTCTGCTGGCCTGAGCTGTGCCCACTGGAGCCCCACTGGAATTGCAGCACAGGTCCCCCTACCTGCCCCCTGCATGGCCCTTTCACCCACACTCAGGCTGCAGGAGTCCTCACTGCCACTCTGCCACCTCCTGCTCACCGCCTGCCTTGGAGACCAGGACGAGGAGGCAAATGGGTCACTAATGAGATTCAGAGAGAAAACCAAGTCAGGAGGTGCTGCAGACACCACGGAGGAGGGAGATGTGATGGAAAAATGTGTCTCCGGGTGGGAAGGGCGCAGCGGGTGCAAACAGCCTGAGCTAGCCTTGCACAGAGGCAGCCCTGACACCCAGCTCAGGCTGCCCTGGAGGCTTCATGTTACAATCTTTAATTTGGGTTTGGACTTACAGACTCATTCATGCATCCATGCCTCTCCAACCCCTTGCCAAAGAGCAGTTGACTGGCTTAAGGATTCAAAGTTACCTAGCTAATGAAGACCAAAACTGTTTAATGCAAATATTAAGGTAGAAAGTAAGAAAAACAAAAAGCAAGGTGGGAAAAGAAAAAGATGATCAGGCCACTCAGGGAAGGGGTTCGTGGGAAAGAAATTTGCAAACCATTGCCTTAGGATGGGACAGGCACTGTGACAAGCTTATGGGGTCCATAGGCCTTTGGTGTTGGAAAAGCTTTGGTCAGATAATAGTAACAGTGACCAGTGTTTCAGACATTTATAGATCTACTGTCCACCCATTTGGTTGTAGACATTGACTGTTCATTGCCAAGGGCCCCGCAGGGAATTTTCCTCAGGATCTCATTAAATACTGTCAGCACTCTGTGAGGCAGTCCCCTGAATCCCTGAGGCTACTAGGCAGAGACACTGAGTTCTCTCCTTAACAGGTAATGGTAGAACATGTGGGAATCCTCATGGAAGCATGAGGTTGGATCCTTCTTCATACTATATAGAGAACAACTCAAAATGGACTGTCTATCCAAACCCAAGGGTTATAATTATAAACTCTTAGGAAAAACAAAAGTACATGTAAACATTCATGACCCTGAATTAGCCAAAGGTTTGGCATATGTAGAAAGGAAGAGGGAGAATAAAATAGATAAATCAGACTTCTTCAGAATTAAAAAGTTTTGTGCTTCAAAGAACATCAAAAAAGTGAAAAGACAGCCACAAAATGGAGAAAATATTTGCAAATCAGATATCTGCTCAGGCACGTGTATCCAGAATATATAAAGAACAAGTTCAGCAACAGGACAAATAGCATAATTTAAAATTGGGCAAAGAATTTGAATAGACAGTTCTCTGAAAAATACAGAATGGCCAAAGACACACTTTTTTTAAATGTTCAACATCTTTAGACAAAGGGAAAATACAAAGTAGAAAGTGAGTTATTTGTGGGGCCCAGCTTTTCTGCTATGAAAGCCCCTTGATACAAACCCCCAAGGCTGGAGAAAGGGTCACCCCAAAGGAGCCAGGGTACAGGGCTTTGCTGATCCCTTGTGAGTCAGGGGATTGATCTGCCTGTGGACCCACTGAGCCATTGGTCCAGTTTTCAGGGGGAAGTGAAGAGATAGTGACCAGGAAACATTAGGTTTAGACAGAAGTGTTCAGCCAGGGGTAGGCTGCCCAGAGGCCTTTTTCCTAATAAATGGTAGAAATTGCAGAAAAGTACCTTTGTTTGCCCCATGCCCTTTCCCAGAGCCTGTCCAGAGCAGCAGTTCTCTGGCTGTAGGACCCTGTTGTACTCTGATAATATTGAAGAACCGAAAGGGCTTTTGTTTATATGGGTTGTTTCTGTATTGAGTTTGTCACAGTTATTATCAGTGAAAACAGTGTTAAAACTGTAATTTGCAACTTATCTAACACAAAATAGTAAAGTCTTTACATTAATATTAATACATTTCTATGAAAATTGATTTCTCTGAAAAAGCACAAATGGAGTGGATGCCACTTTCTTTGCCCCTGGCTACCAGAAGATGTGTCTGCATCTGGGCTATCTGGAAACCTCCCTGAACACTCTAAGGGAATAAGAAGGGCAGCAGTACTTGATGCATGGTATTAAAACAAATAGTTTTGGCTGCACTGAAAGGGTCTTGGGGACCCACAGGGATCCCTGTACCACACTTTGAAAACTGTTGGTACAGTGGCGAGATCCTGACTACAGACTTCCCCAGGAGCAGGGAGGGAGTCCTTGTGAATCCAGTGGAGAGGGAGTGAAGCAGGAGCAGTTTCAGTGGGGAAGTAGCAAGAATTCTTCTGGAATTAAGCT